GGCCCACTTTCTCCGCCTTTCAAGAATCATTTCTACTAAACATTGAATGTCTGTACCAAGCTCAGCCAGTGATCAGGCTTGCTGAACCCCCTGGAAAGTACCGACAGGATGCTTGAATTGTCCAGCTCCTCGCAAGTTCGTTCTCCTTCAGCCATTTGAGCGTCAACAGGAGACTTTTGATGTTTTGGGTGTTTGTTCTGTTGGAGGCATACTGAACAGTGGCATTGCACATTCCAGGCCGGAGCTGAGTCCTCAGAGACCCGAAGGTCTCTGATGAGAGCTGTTAAATCCCTGGGAATTGTTTGCTTTTCTAGTTGACCCCTCCCCTCCCAGCTCCAACTGTGTAAGCTCTCTTAGGCTAAGACATTCCAGGCAGCATAAGGCAGTGACCACCTGCAGCCCTCCTGAAATTGAGTTAACAATCTACATTCCCAGGGCCTGGCTCCTTGAGAGGGTAGCCTGGGGAAACTCTAGTGGGGGCATCCTAGAGTTTAGAATTGTCTGATTTTTGTACAGCGTGTAGGAGGATTTCTAGGCTCTTTGGTGCATGTGACTGCGGGAGGCAATGCGAATATACAGGGAAGTACTGGACAGTCGGCTTCACCAACACTCTATGCCACAGAGCACGCATGCACTCCCCAGGTGTGGCCTCTGGCACAGGTGTGGAAGTTCTATTTCCATCTGGCACTAGGAAAGCCAGACAAGGCCTGCCTCAGTAGCGGATGGATATGACGAATATGACATCATAGGCCTCATGGTTCAAAAGAACTCAGAGCATGTCAGAGTTACCGCTGGCAGACAGTCCGCAAAACTCAATGCATTTAGCAGTCTACTTATAGGAATTTTGGAGACTTTTTATTAATAAAGTAGAAATTTAAAAAATACCATCCCAACCGTCCCCGGAGTTGGGGGTTGTTCTTGGCTCTGAATACAGCTATCATGGCCCTCTTGCTCTGTAGACCTTGGAGCTTCGGTCCTCAGCCACACGCTGAGCCCATTTAAGTCTCCCCTTCTGGCAAGGCAACGCTAATACACTTATTCAGTGTTTATTACCTTCCCTCTGCAATCAGGATACTCTGGGCTGGGGCGGGCACCTCAGGTAGTGGTAATTGGGAATCGTTACCCTTACTAATGAGTAAACAAGCTGGCTTCATTGCAGATGCAGCCAGCAGGTTTGCCTAATACAATACAGGGTGAGTCATTATTCGCCCATGCCACGGGCACGCATGGAAAACAGAGGAAGTGCCAGGCGAGAGGGTGGCCAAGTAGACAGTGACAGGTTCCTGCTGCCCCGGAGTAAGAACTCTCAGTGAGAAGCAAGAGAAGTGAGGGCTGCCGGGAGCAAAGTGGGCAGAGGGATAGACACTCAGCAGCTCAGCAGAGCCTACGAGGAAGCATAGGATGGGGGCGGGGCAGTCCTGTCTTTTCCTCACTAGAATGTGCAAGCTGACCCCGGTATAGCAAAGCACAGACTAATCAGAGAACCGCAAATCCAATAGCAAAACACAGACTAACGAGAGAACAGCAAGCCCCGTCTACTCATCAAGGTTGTGTGTAACATGAGAGCCTTCAGAAATGAAGACCCAAAGTGCTAGGAAGAAGGGGTTCCTTCATGCCTACGGTCCATGAAGAAAGGACAATACTGCAATGCGATTAGACAAAAACAAAACGGGATCTTATAATGGCAGTCAACCTCGGAGAACTCTACAAGGCACTGTGTGCCGAATCCTTCACCCTCCTCTATGGGGCAAGACCTCAGACGAGTGTCTTATGGTCTAGCTCAGTGGCTCTCAACCTCCCTCATGCTGTGACGCTTTAATACAGTTCCTCACTCTGTGGTGACCCCCCCAACCAAAAAATTATTTTGTTGCTGTTTCATAACTGTAATTTTGATGCTGTTGTGAAAATCTGATATGTAGGATAACGACCCTCAGGTTGAGAACCACTAGTCTAATCATAAGCGAAGTGGGTCAGAAAATTCCTTTGCTTCAGCTGTCACAGGAAGGTGACAGTGATCTTCCACTTCTCAGGCCTTCCAAATCTCCTCCAGTAGTCCACAGTACTCTGCAGTAGTGTTTTGGGCCCTGACAGTCAGTCCTATGGTGACGAAAACCTTCATGTATGACGATTAGCATCCGGTTTTGTGTTTCCATAGCTCACTTTGCAGCCTGGGATGACCTCTCATCTCTGTATTTCTCTGTGTATAATTTCAATCTCTTACCAAAATGCACAAGTCATTATCAGAACTCAGAAACAACAGTGACAGTGTTCTTGTTATGTGGCGAGCTTTGTGTAGACAGAACTACTAGCCAGTTTGTGTGTTTTGAATATAGCCAACTCATTTCCCTGGGTTTGATGGCAAAATCCTATAATCCCAGCTCTGAGAGGTGGAGGCAGGGGGATTGCAAGATGGAAGCCAGCCTGGCCTCTATGGTGAGACTCTGTCTTGGGGGAGGGGGAGGTAGATTAATTACCAAGGTTACTTTTTTTTTTTTTTTTGGTTTTTCGAAACAGGGTTTCTCTGTGGCTTTGGAGGCTGTCCTGGAACTCGCTCTGTAGACCAGGCTGGCCTCGAACTCACAGAGATCCGCCTGCCTCTGCCTCCCAAGTGCTGGGATTAAAGGCGTGCGCCACCACACTTTTTATAAGATTTTTTTTGTGAAAGTAGGGCAGCCTGTGATTAAAACTTCCTCCTCTGTACCCTGTTTGTAAGACCAAGAATAAGGAAGGCTCTCTGACATAAAACCCTTGTAGAAGTATAGTCCCATAAAAATATCTGTGGGTCTCAACGTGTTCAAATTAGATGTGGGTTACATGAAACATGTACTCTCATTTGGGTTAAATATTCTTAGATACATAAAATTATAATTTAAAAACCAGTATTGAAAGAAAAGCTAACACTGATGGAACCCTAAAAGCATCTATTAGCTTTATCTTTCAACTTGGTCACAAAATCCAAATTCATGCATTCTTTAAAAGACCTGAAACATAAAAAATTTACTTTAGAGAGAGTAAAGCACATCTAATTATTTTCATGTTACACATGTTGTTCAGATGGATAATTAATTGATGATAATTGATCATAAGTTGATTAATGTTAAATGTTGATACTTAGAGTAAAAACTGTAGTCTAAGTTTTCCATTGGATTTCCTGACAGTGGCTACCTCTCATGGCTGCAGCCTTAGCCCTTTAAATATCCCGTTGGTTTTCTTATGCTCATTCATCAGACGATCAAAGAGTTTCCAAACAGAAGACATCCTAGATATCATGGGTATTTCTAGAATGGCAGCTGTCTTGTTTTCTTGAAGCACTGACCTGTCACCCAGGCCCCTCATGCCCCGGCTTTTACCTCACCTATTCAGAAAGCAGTTGCCTTTGTTAAGAGACCTGGACATGGGTGGACATGGGCCTCTGTTGAAAACCCTCTTGTATAGCCACCGTGGGCCTCCTTGGGTAGCCTATTATCTTTTCACCACCCTCACAAATCTTTTCAAGGCTAGAGAATGGTTCAAGTTGTCACAAGCTGGCGACAAAGCCCTTGGGCTTGTACCCAATTTGTGGACAGTTCCCTTTACACGGTGCAGAAGAGACTTACAGAAGTCAGAAGCAGCCTGGGCCTGGTTGAGGTGCTGTCGTGCTGCCTGACAAATGTGTCCTGTGACCGACAGCTTTCGGTATCCTCTAGATAAGGAGCTTCTGACTCACAGGGCTATTTCACAATAAAGCCCCAATATGCTTTCAGTCTGTAACCCAGAGAAATGTCACAGCCGCACATTTCTGCCACTCTCGCCTCTGCTCTTGCACCCAGAAGCTATGTGGTTGTGATGCAGCCTCTGGTGTTGCACTCTGCCTCTCGCTGGAGCTTCTACTTTGGTCTCCTCAGCATTTGAAAAGGAAAACACATCCTCAAAAACAGCTGACTCCTGTCAGTTCCCTGTTGCACACAATGTCTACAGACCATTGTGTCATGTGACCCCAGGCTCTTCAGGGAATTCTCCCACAAGGCTCGCAGACATCCATCCTCCTGTTCGAACTCTAGACCCCTAGTTCTAACTCCATCCTGTATATTTTTCCTTCCTTTATGTACTTTCAAAGGACATGAGCACAATATTCCATCAAGTTTGCATCATTGTCCCTGTCTTTGCTTTGTCCTGCACATTTGCTTCTTGAACACGGCAACGTGCAGCGTGCACAGGTTTCCTGCTCTCCAGCTCTGTGGGAGTGTGTCCAGTCAAGGACAGGGGTAGCCAGAGTGCTCTGGCTCCCAGGTGCACCTTCCGCCTGTCCATTTTGACTTCCTTGGTCATCTGTATATTAACCTCAGTAGGAAACGATGACAACAGAGTTGGTGGTGGTGTTTGCAGTGTCATCTTGTGAAGCTTCCTACGTGCTTATTCCTCCATTAACTGTCACTCATTCACATTCTAGCCCTTGCAAAGGTTCTGCCCACAAACACCTGCTGGATTTGTAGCATCATCCTTTCTGAGAAGTCCCTGTGTGGATCACATGCTACTGAAGCAGTCCTGCTCAGAGCTAACATCTGCTCAGGTTTCCTCCTAATCTTCAGGGTCAGCTGGGACCAGAGAATGCGTGTGAACTTTTCATTCATGCTTCTCATTTAAAATGCCAATGTTGTTGCTTTTCTATTTTATTTGGTTTGGGGTTTGTTTCATTGTGGTGCTGGGAATGGAAACCAGGACCTTTTGGTTGGCATCAAGCTCTGTATGACTGAGCTACATCCCAGACTGCTCTCCTCTGTGTGGTTCTGATACAAACAAGTCCTTGGGTCAAGCCCAGACAGTTTTTCAGACATCAGACTGGCCAGTAAAGAAGGAAGGTAATGGTGACAGATGATTAGCCCAAGAATAGAAATTCAGTATTAACAATGTTTTCATACTTGCTGACTTGTTTTATGTCAACTTGACACAAGCTAGAGTTATCCAAAGGGAGAGATCCTCCACTGAGAAAATGCCTCCAGAGGACCAGGCTGTAGGCAAGCCTTAGAGCATTTTCTTAATTAGCGATCGATGGGGGAAGGCCCAGCACATTGTGGGTGGTGCCTTCCCTGGGTTGTAGTCCTGGATTCTATAAGAAAGCAGGCGGAGGAAGACATGGAGAGCAGGCCAGTAAACATCACCCTCCATTGTCTCTGCATCACCTCTTGCCTCCAGCTTCCCACCTTGCTTGAGTTCCTGTCCCGACTCCCTTTGATGATGAACAGTGATGTGGAAGCGTACGCCAAACAAACCCTCTCCTCCCCAAGTTGCTTTGATCATGGTGTCTCATCACAGCAGTGGTGACCCTAAGACACAGTGATGGAGAGAACATCTCAGAATAGATCCTAATTTCTTGCCAGGCAATGAGGTAGGAGGGGAATTCCTGCTACAGAGAATGACTTGGTAGATGTGCCCATGTAGGTATGATGAGATTTCTGGACTCTGAAGTTTGAATTCAGAAAGATAATAAGAGGCAACCTGGATAAGTAAGAAACTCTGGATTACTATGAAGGATGAAGTTAGAACTTTACTTTGTAAGTCATAGGAACGCTGCCTATAAGGCACATCTACAGGTAGAAATCTTGAGTGGAGAATGTTAAATTCATTAAGGCTTCTGCAACATGGCCATGCAGAACCAAAGTCACACATCTCCAGAATTTTTTTCCAAGCAGAACATACTAGGAAACACACATTTCCTCTGAGAGTTACCCCCTCTCCAGAATAGTTTGTATGGGTGGTGTAGAGAGAGGTCTGTGGCTTATGAACACTTAATTTCAAATATGCATTCCTGTGATGGTTAACTCCATCAGATACAGCCTACAATCAAAGCCCACATCAGGTTAGCCTGTGAGGGTGTTGTTTTCATTGCCTTCATTGGTGTGGGAAGACCCAGCCTGAAAGTGGGTGACTATTGCTGGGTTTAGGATTCTGGACCATATGAGTAGAGAAAGCTAGCTGAGTATTAAGTATGCCTTTGTTTGTTTCTCTCTGTTCTTGTTGTGGGTGTCATGTGATTAGCTGTTTTAAGTCCTTACCGCCTTGAGCTTTCCTGCTATGATAGGCTGAAACCTGGAATGGTGCACTAACGTTCCCCCCACCCCTGCCCTGTAAGTTCCTTTTTTGTTTGGGTATTTTTTATCACAGCAACAGAAGTGAATCTAGAACAACCTCATTCTTAAACCATTTCATAAGCCGTAGATCCTTTGTCCCAGCAGGCAGGGACAGCAGGTGTGCTTACCTGATCCATGCCTCTGTACTGCTATTTTCTCTGTGTCCGGTTTCCATGGGTCTGCCCACACACAGGGAGGTACCCAGAGGAAGATGATGTCACAGCACCTGTTTGGAGACAGCACTTTCACAGGGCCCAGAAGTCCTCCAGAGGGACTCTAATCCCAGCTGAACAGCAGGAGCACATGGTGTAGACAGTCATCTCATCTAGGAATTAAAAGGACTTGCCAAAGTTCTGGGTAGGCTCAACACTGCAGGACAAAGACAGGGCCCATGACCGACTTTGAGAGAAGTTGGCTTTGAAGGCAGTGAAAGAAAGGCTGTCAAGAGCAGCCTGCTGGTGCATCTCATCCCATCACCCTAAGCCCCTTCTCTAAATGCAAGGCCCAGAGATAATTTAATGTCACCTATAGCTGCAAAGGGCTGGGCTCATGATTTTTAGCCCCCCCCCCCACCACCACCACAGGTATGATTCTTCACTGAAGACGGCCTTCAGTGGGTATCATGTTAAAAAATAATTATTCCTTTCCCTTCTTTCCTTCTTCCTTGTTTCCTTATTTTTGTTTTTGTTTGTTTGTTTTTAAGACAGAATCTCACACACTCACACAGTTCAAATATGAGCTGGCTCAGACTGGCCTCAAACTGACTATGTAGCCAAGGACAATCTTGAACTCCTGGATCCTCCTGTCTCTAGATCCCAAGAGCTAGGATTACAGGTCTGTGCCACCATAGCCAACTAGTTACTGATGACTGAACCCAGGGGTTTGAATTCATGCATGCTAGACAAGCTGTCTATAGAGCTACACCCGCAGCCCTGTACCTTTTGGGTTTTTTTATTCATATTCTTTTGTGGGGCTGGGGATCTGACAAGGTTTCCCAAATGCTGGGCAATTGCACTGAGTCACACCCGGCTCACCATTTACCATAAACCTTACAGAGCTGAAATGAGAAGGCAGCTGTGGTAGCGCCCTGCCAGCAACCCCACGAAAGGCTGCCGCCGCTCACTTTCCTCCCATTGCTCTTAATCTAAGATCCACAGGTTAACTTAGTCATTGGAGGTGGAGCAGTAAATTAAGAAGAAACGGTTTCAGATTTTCAGCCCAGTCCTTTGACCTTCTACCAAAATGCTAGTTACTAGACCAGCACAGGCTGGTGACTGAAGGACAGGAGACAGTGTCCACCTGTGCCTGAGCACAGACGAGGATGTCAGCCTTAACCTTTTGTGACCTGCGGTGACCTTGGCCTAGTCCTGAGGCGCCTTGGATAAGGACTTTGCTTTGGCATGATTGCATAGTGACGGCACCTCCCCTGGTGCTGGTGGTCGTGACCTTGCTCCGTGAAGAAGGTGGCAGCAGCCCCATGCTGATCAGCCTGCTCTGCAGGGCCTAGTGACCACCAGGCCAGTGACTGTGTCCTCCTGCTTAGCGCACAGTCCCTGGGATGCAAGGGCTCAGCTGCAGACAGTGTACTTTTTGCCTCTTCCTTGGCTCTTCCTGCATCTGCCAAGAAGGTATTGAAGCTTCCTCACCTGCAAGGAAGCAGGAGGAGGACACCAAGTCTGTGCCACCACGTATTGGTGCTAGAAGAAAAAATAAGCAGTGCACCTGACTCGGAGTTCATTCACCTTTCATGACACCTTATCCACCCATGACTGATCTGTCCTAGGAAGGACTCCAGGCAGTCCAAGGCGTGAATGGAATTTAAAACACAATTTCTGCACCCTCTGATTTACTCTGTGTACTTAGCTGAACTGAATGCTCACCTGGGATCAAAAGCGCCGTGACCCGTACTCCAGCTGAGACTGGCAGCATCTCCCAGCTGTAATTCTTGCACAGAAAACGGCTACTTCCCCCCAACTAGGCAACCATTTCCCCAGGGAGACACTCAGAGCGGATACCTGCATCCACTTTGTCCTTTCCCTCTATGCGGACTCTGCCAGTAGGTCAGGCTATGCCAAGCACCTTGAACCCTCATTATCTTTAATTAGTGTTTAGGAGGTTAATTAGTGGCAAGGCTCATCTTTCTTTAATTACTTCAGTTGAGGCAGGGGGTCCTGGAAGCCAGCTTTGAATTATTCTGTTTGTCTTTGTGCTAATTTGAATTGATAAAGTTGGATGTTTACTGCACAGATGGGCATTGGTGGGGTGCTAGGAAAACCTCAGAGTGGTGGACACAGTTGTTTTTACTGTAATTAATCTGCAGGGTTAGGGACCTTGGGAGTGTAACTGTCAAAACAGAAAACAGTTTCAAACCTGATCCAAACCCGAAACCCCAGCAGGCAAATCTGTTTGTCATGTAAGGGCAAGTTCTTAAAAGAATTTAATTGATTGCAAACCAGAGCTGATTAAGTTCATCAATTGATGAATAATAAAGAAAATATGGTGTATATACATCATACACACCAAGGATGTGCCGTGTGCAGAATTGTTAGAACTGATATATTGAGCTAGATAAACCAGACTCAGAGATAGAAAGATAATGATTTCTCTTAGATGTAGAATTAGGCTTCAAAACAGTAAGGCATGAGGCAGAGGTGGGACTATTTGTGGAGAAAGGTGGCCAGCAAAAGGGGAGGAGGGGGAGGAGAAATTAATGGAAGAATCATAAAAGTGCATGATAGACATCCATTAAAATGCCATAATGAATCCCATTTTTGTGTACAGTGAATGTGTGCAAAACATGAAACCATATGAAAATAGGTCTGAAGATGCAGCTGAAAGGCAGATGCAGAGAGGAAGTGGAGGGTGGGGAGAGAGAAAGGGAAGTCTTACAGAGTGTCTTTACATGTCATCAGCGGTACCTGGTTGCCAGCACTTAAATTCTGATGTTGGCGCTATCCCCCATACTCTGAGGATTCACATCCCAGACCATCAGGCTCTGGTTCGGAGGCTAAGCTGCATCCTGGGCTGATAGTGATGGAGATGAACTGGGAGATCACCTGCCATTTAGCCTCACCCCCACTTCCTCCTAGTACCCAGTGCTTTCTCTCCCCCCCACCCCCGTCCCCCCCTGCCTCTTAGTGGTAACAGCCACTCACTGTAAAAGTTTATCTTTGCCTTTTTAAACATGTTCCCTCCGCATCTTTGGCTCCTTCCTTCCCTCCTTCATCTCTGACAAAAGATGTACACAGACTTAGGAAAGACTGAATTCTGAACAGAGGCAAAATTCCCACTCAGCAGGAAATTGAATCCCAGTGATGCGTGTAGGTCTAAGAAGTGACAGTAACAAGATGTGACCCTGGTCATCCCATGGTCTTGGTGATCTCATCTTATTTAAAGGGGATCCCTACAGCTACATCCTGGAACATCAGTGGTCCAGCTTCGTTGCCTTCTAGATGAAGGTGATTAAAAGATGTAATTTGCCAACATAGGCATAGGGCCCAGTACCCTTGTGTTTTCTGTCATCATAGCTTTTGTGTTTTGGTCCACTTGACATCCCTTCATCCATTCATTTCTTTAGCCTGCCAAAGAAGTGCACTCTTTCATCTTTAGCTACACTGAGGACAGAGGCCTGGGCTATGCTGATTCTCAGTGAGCGTCTATCACTCAGCCACCTGTCAGTCCAGCAAATAGCTCTGAGCATCCTCATCATACCAGGGACTCCTTCTGGTGCTGGAGATAAAACCAAAAGATGAAATTCTTCCATGTAGACTGTAGTTCCTAAAAGAGAACCCAAGAATTAACGTGCCCCAGAGAACAAAGCCAAGCGTGGCTGCTGTCATGGAGAGTGATGTGGAGGGGCTGCTTTCTCAGCTGGGCAGGAGGCTGGGGAGAAAGTCTCCTCAGTGGGATGAATACAGAGAGAGCACCGAAGCAAACACGGAGGCCTGGCGGTGGCAGGGATATCAGCTGTGTGGCTGGAGCAGAGCGAGGGGAGCAGAGCAGTTAGAAAGCACTTAAGAGGACATGGGGGCCTTTGAATCTCTGACTGTGTGGCTTTGAAATCGACAGTGTGTATGGTTCTGCTTGTGGCTCCAGAGTTGAGCTAGAACTCTCAGCTTCTACAACTGAGTCTTCATGCCTAGCTTCCTGCTTCACAGGGGCCTTTGCTTTGCCCCCCCCCGCTGGCAAATGCATACACCTACACTGTTCCTTGCCCCGGTCCACCTAGTGCTCCTTATCCCGCCATATAGCACTCCCCTGGGGCCTCCCCATTATCTGTTCCTAGCAGCCATGACTCCAGCCTGACCTCCTCTAGGCTCACCCACTGTATGGAGCCCAACCTGATTCAGAGAGGTCTTACCACCTCATTTCGGGTCATGAAATGAGGTAATGGCTTCCACATGTGCTGGGGCTGTCATTCAAATTCTTCTTTGCCTGTTCCCTCTGGTGTGCCCGCAGGGGGTGGAGGAGAGAGACCTGCCCCCTCAGTGAAACTTGGCAAGGTAACATTTTTTGGCAGTGCTTAGAAAGACATGAGGGCAGAGAGACGTGAATGAAACAGGAGATACGTAAAAAAAATGGACAGGGATTTTTACTTTCCTTTGGAGATTATTAACGAGTCATATGCAATCAAGGGATAATATGGGGTCAAGAGTTTCTTTTCCCATTTGCCTCCAGTGGTGACATCATTCAAAGCCTTAGCACAACATCACAACCAGGAAATTGCCATTGATATGGTCACCATCAGAACACTTCCATCCCACCAGGGTCCTGCAATGTGGCTCCCTTGCAGCCCCCAGCTGCTGCCCCCTGAGTCCGGACAGCCACTGAGTTGTTCTCTAGTTTGACAAAGTTGTCACTTCAAGAGTAATAAGCATATAAATGGAAACACATAATGTATTCCCTTTGTGCAGTGACACCGCCTCCCAACATAATTTTCTAAAGACTCTTTCAGTTTGTTGATTCTGTCACTAATTTTTCCTCCTTATTGCTGAGTAGTAGTCTATGATATTGGTATTCTATACCTGGTTTAGCCATGCACTCATGAAAGGACATGTTGGCTCTTAATTTGGGCCTGGGAATGAATCAAACACTTATAAATATTTCTTCACAACACTTTTGGGTTATTCTTTTGGTAACAAGCCTTTTTACCCTGTATTGCCCCCAAATCTGTTTTTCCTCTAAGTTTTATATTTTTATACTTTGCTTAAAGTCTGTGATGCATTTTAAGCTAAACTTGTATAAGGTTCACAACTTAAGGTTCCTTGTGTTGTCTTGGTTTATTGCCTGTGTGTGTATGATTTCTCTAGAACTATTTGTTGAGAAGACTTTTTCTTCACCAAATTCCTTTTGCTTATTTGTCAAAAGTTAAATAGACGGCAGCAGTGTGGCTCTGTGGTGGAGAGCTTACCTATCATATGTGTCTTAGTTAGGGTTTCTACAGCTGTGAAGAGACACCATGCCCACAGGAACTCTTATAGAGGAAAGCATTTAATAGGGTGGATTATAATTTCAGAGGTTTAGTCCATTTTCATCATGGCAGGACATAGCATTGTGCAGGCAGACATGGTGTTGGAGAAGTAGCTGAGAGTCCTACATCTTGTAGGCAACGAGAAGTGAACTGAGTGTCACACTGAGTAAAGCTTGAGCAAAGTGGACCTGAAAGCCCACCCCTACAGTGACACACTTCCTCCAAGAAGGCCACACCTCCTAATAGTGCCACTCCCCTTAGGGGACATTTTCTTTCAAACCACCACAACAGCCAGGCTCTAGACATGATCCTTACCACAGTTCAAAGGAAGGAAAAACAACTACATGGGAAGCATTTGAGGAGGGGTTATTCTACTCTATTCAATTCTATTTTTCTATTCCATCTATATCTGTGTGCTTAGAAAACCAATGCCAATGCCACAGCATCTGGATAACTACAGGAATATCATGTATCTTTGAATTAGGAAGACTGTACCCCCATTGTAATATTTCTTTCCAAAAGGACTGTTAACGATTGTTCATGTTTTTCCAGATTTAGTATAATCTTTTTTGCATGTGTCTCTGTGTGTGGCATAACTGTGTGTGTCCATGTATGCTCACATGTGTGTTAGTAGGTACACATGTGAGGAGGTCCACAGTTGATGTTGGGAGTCTTAATCATTGTACACTTGAGGCAGAGTCTCTCAGCTGGAACCCAGAGCTGACTGATATGGCTAGTCTCAATAGCCAGTTTGTACGTGGGATCCTCAGACTCTACCTTCTGTGTGCTAGACTTACAGTGGGCTACCACACACCCATAGTTTATATAGGTCCTGCAGATCCAACTTTAGTCCTCATACTTGCTGCTCAACTCAAAAGCACTTTAACCACTGAGCCAGCCCTATCATGGATAACCTTACCTGTGTTACAAAAAAAAAATGTTGCTGCGACTTTGCTAGAAATTACATTAAACCTTTACTTTAGCAAACTGCAGAGTGCTAATGGTAGTCAGTCTTACAATTCATGGGAATGACAAATCTCTCCACAGTTATTAGAGCTTTCAGTTTTCAGTTCACAATAGTATTAATGACTTGTTAGCTTTGCATATAGATATTTCAGATATTTCTTTGAGCAGTTGTAAACTGTGTATTTTTAGTTCCAGTGTCAATATATTCATTACTACATGCTCACTTTTTATTTTTACAAGTTTTTATCATGTGACTTTGCTGAAGTCATGTACATTACATCATTACATAAGTGTTCTGTCTAAATGTTGATAGGTATTCCTGAAGTTTTTTTAGACAATCTATCATCTACAAATGCAGGTACTGTTATTACTTATATCCTGAACCCCATGTTTTTATTTGCTTTTCATGCCTTATTATACAGTCTAGAACTTCTAGCACCATGTTAAATAAGAATAATCAGAACAGCCAGGCAGTGGTGGCACATGCCTTTAATCCCAACATTCTGAAGTAGGCAGATCTCTGAGTTCAAGGACAGCCTGGTCTACAGAGCAAGTTCCAGGACAACCAGGGATACACAAAGAAAGCCTGTCTTAAAACAACA